ACGACGCTGGGTTTGCAGCTGCTACATGAAAGGACGTATCCCTTTGTGTGTTTGCAGACCTTTCGCAGAGCTCCTCTCCATCCCTGTCGGACCAACTGCAGATGGGCTGCGAGGAGGCAGCCTTGGGAGCACTGAACGTGGAGTGCAGGGTCTGCGGAGACAAAGCCTCTGGGTTTCACTATGGCGTGCATGCCTGCGAGGGCTGCAAGGTACGTATGCCCTGGGGAGGGCTGGGTTCAGCAACGCCAAGCAGAGTTTAGCCGCCAGGGAGCACGCCATCTCTTCAGACAAGCAGGTTCGCAGCAAAGCAGGGATGCAGGATTGAGTGATTGTAAAAGAAATAATTTGCAACCTGTCCAGAGGGTGTGGAGTGTAGAGGTGGGCACACAAATAGTGTCCTAGTGGAGGCAGCTGAGGTGCGTATTGCCCAAATCTTGCCCCGTCATGCTTTACTTTGTAAGGCAAATTCGTCTATTCCCACGGGGACCTCAGCCTTGCTTTTAAAGATGCTTTCTGTGCTGCAGATCAGCAGTGAGCTCTGTGTTTATCCCCCTGGGATCACTGGCCGCAGCTTGGATGTGCCTCTGAAATTCTTTCCCCCACAGCAGATGCCAGCAGGGCTGCGTTAGTGGCCCAGGTCCTGCCAGACATTCCTGCAGGCTGGGGCTGGCCTGCAGCTCGTTCCTCCATCCCTCCCTGCTGGCTGCCTGCAGTATCACACACGCGGTGTCCGGCACCGGACCGTGGGCTGTCCTCCACGGTTCCTCCTCTGCAGCCCCCTTCTCCCACCACACAACCTCTCCTTGGGATGGAGGCTCTGCTTGTGTCAAAGAGACCCAGGGCTCCTCCAGGAGCTGAACCTCTGTGGGGCTCCTGGGGGTAATAACCCAGCCTGATCCCAAACCACAGGTGCTAACGCCGCTGCTCCTTTGTCCCCCTGCTCTGCGTCCCCCTCTCTGCCACCTGCTCGCAGGGTTTCTTCCGCCGGACGATCCGTATGAAGCTGGAGTATGAGAAGTGCGAGAGGAGCTGCAAAATTCAGAAGAAGAACCGGAACAAGTGCCAGTACTGCCGCTTCCAGAAATGCCTCTCGCTGGGCATGTCACATAACGGTGAGTGTCACCGCTGTCCACAGGCCCAGCCGGCTGGGTGCCATGGGGCTTCTCTGAAGGGTTCGCACAGGGAGGCTGTATGCAGCTTGCTTTATCCCGTGGCTCTCTTCTCGCTACGGGATCATCTTTCAAACCCAGTGCTTTGAGCCTTTGATTCTTCATCCCCTTCTTCTGACGAGAAGGGGCTGTTTGTTCCCAGGGTGCAGGTTGGCTCTTGGCATACGGCTTTCCCTTACCGGTTGACCCAGCGGGAACTGGACACCCAGATTGCTCTTCTGTGCCGGGATTTTTAGATTTCAGGTGTAACCATCTTGTTCCTAGCCAAGCCAGGGTGTTTCTGTGGGACTCAGGGCTTGTGCGGGAGCCCAGAGGAGCGGGATGGGAGCTCAGGGCGAGGTTGGGTTGACAAGGGTGGCAGTAGTGGCTGATTGATGAAGGTGTCGATGCCGGAGGAGCTGCAGCCCCAGAGGAGCATCGTGTTGCGTAGCTGCAGGTGTTCACCAGCAGATGTCTGTCTGCGGTGGCAGAGCAGACCACTGCCTCCCTGGACATGTCTCCAGGGGTCATCCCCAGTGTCCTGACCCGCTGGTTTTGTCCCTCACCACAGCAATCCGCTTTGGCCGCATGCCGGAGGCAGAGAAGAGGAAGCTGGTGGCAGGGCTGACGGCGAGCGAGATCAGCTGCCAGAACCCGCAGGTGGCCGACCTGAAAGCTTTCTCCAAGCACATCTACAACGCCTACCTGAAAAACTTCAACATGACCAAAAAGAAGGCGAGAGGTATCTTGACCGGGAAGGCCAGCAGCACCCCAGTAAGTTCCCTCCCCAGGGCAGGCAGGGTTGGCCGTAGAATAAGACGGGAGGCTGTTCTCTGGGAGATGCTGCACATCTCCTTCCTGCTGTAGCTGTTCCACACGCAGCAGTTCCCAGCTGCAGCCAGGTGGGATCTACACGTCCTGCGCCTCACTGGGAAAAATCCCTATTGCTCTGCAGACTTGTGCTGTTGTGGGTGGATGCAGATTGCCCGGGCACTGACAGGCAGACAAATGCGGGTGTCTTTGGCAGCGCTGGTATCTCGAGTCCCCGCGACAGGTTCCTAACTGCTTGCTTCTTTTTCAAGCAGCCTTTTGTGATCCACGACATGGACACCTTGTGGCAGGCAGAAAAGGGGCTGGTCTGGAAACAGCTAGTGAACGGCATTCCCCCCTACAAGGAGATCGGGGTACACGTCTTCTACCGCTGCCAGTGCACCACGGTGGAGACTGTGCGGGAGCTCACGGAGTTCGCCAAGAGCATCCCCAGCTTCTTAGGCCTCTACTTGAATGACCAAGTGACTTTGCTGAAGTATGGGGTGCACGAGGCCATCTTCGCCATGCTGGCCTCTATCATGAACAAGGATGGGCTGTTAGTGGCCAACGGGAACGGCTTTGTCACCCGTGAGTTCCTGCGTAGCCTGCGCAAGCCTTTCAACGAGATCATGGAGCCCAAATTTGAGTTTGCTGTGAAATTCAACGCGCTGGAGCTGGATGACAGTGACCTGTCTCTGTTTGTGGCTGCCATTATCCTGTGCGGAGGTGAGCAAGCGCTCTTGGCCATGCGAGGAAGAGTCTTCCTGTCCTTAGAGGGGGTTGGGGCTGGGCTGGGGGAGCTGAGCTGCAGCTGGCCCTGCGATCAGCCCGGGGTGTCTTAGGGGGACGAGAGAAGAACTGAACTGTTCCAAAGCCAAAGCTTCTCTGTGGCGGTGACGCCTAGCAAGCTTGGACCAAGAACAAGGAACGTAGAAGTGGCATCTCCTTCTCACATGCTGCTGTGGGATATGTTGTCCAAGGGCATGCTTCTGCCCTTGTCTAGGTGATGAGGTTGGAGTCACGGTGGGTGGGTTACAGTCCCCGTCTCCCTTTCCCCAGGAGGAGCGTGTGCTTTGGAGGGCTACACCATAACACTACAGCTAGCGTGCTTCCTCTCCACAGACCGTCCTGGCCTGATGAACGTGAAGCAGGTGGAGGAGATCCAAGACAACATCCTGCGAGCGCTGGAGTTTCACCTGCAGTCCAACCACCCGGATGCCCAGTACCTCTTCCCCAAGCTGCTGCAGAAGATGGCCGACCTGCGGCAGTTGGTGACGGAGCACGCCCAGCTGGTGCAGAAGATCAAGAAGACAGAGACGGAGACATCTCTGCACCCGCTTTTGCAGGAGATCTACAAGGACATGTACTAAGGACCTGTTATTTATGAGAATGAAGCCATGGATTCCCATCAAGACTCTTTGTACAGAAACACAGAAAACCTTTTCCCCATGTCTTCCATTTCTTCTACTGGAAACTCTTTTCTACGTGACCCTGACATACGGTACATAGGGCAAGATGCCGTAAGACTTTGCAGCCACCACCTGCTAGGCAAGGGCTTCCGTTAACACACACTAACAAATTTACAAAGGCAAACCATAAGCTACTGTTTCCGTTACTACGGCCCAGCTCTTCAGCTGCTCCCCGTGGCCTCTGGAGGGGCCGGCCGGTTTACATGGCCCAGACGGTGGGGTTCCTGCAGCAGCTTGGGAGTGGGAGAGGATGCTCCGGTCATTAGGAGACCCGAGCGCGGTGTGGGTGTCATCCGGCGGGGCCAGCACAGCACGGACAGCGTGTCTTTATTTTCTTTTTTATATTGCACTCCGAAGACGTAGTCCTGAGCTGTGAAGTCTACGACAGTGTAATGAAAGGAAGTTTCTCTCTTTCTCCCAAAGAAAAGCCAGAGTATTTGGAGACGGGTAGGGCTGTCCCAGCTCAGCTGCAGCCGCCCCTCGCTGCGTGGCGCATCCCTGTCTCCCAGAGGGATGGCGTGATCTCTGCCTTCCCCCGAGTGCTGTGGGAGAGCCTTTGCTCCTGGAACCCCGTTTCAGAGGGAACCTGCCCCTCGGCACCTCGCTATGAGAGAGGGAGGGATGGGGAGGTGGGAGAAAATAAATATTCACCTTCAGAGCAGTGGCCAGAATCTGTTTGCTTCTGCAGGCTTTTCTGCGTAGACACGAGGGGCAGGCGTGGGTCTGGTGGGGGTTTAGGTGGCAGGGCTTGTCCTGCACCTCCCTTCCAAGCCCCGGGGGGCTCGGGGGGCTTTGGAGGGCGGCAGAGGCTCCCTGGCAGCACAGCTCCTGTGAGCATCGGAGCAAGCAAAGCCTTCAGCAACACCAGCGAGGGGAAGGCAAAGCCACGGCCACCCCACAGCCCTCAGGATGCTGAAAGGGCATTGACCTGTCTGTTAACTGCCCTGCCTCAGTTTCCCCTCCGTGCAAGGGAGCTGGATTGTCACCTCCGCTCTGCTCGGAGGGGGAGAACGAGGATTCATCGGTGCATTGGTTGCAAAGAGCTTTGCAGCTGTAAAACACAGTATAAATGCCAAGTATTTATAAAAGGGGAGGGAGAGGGTGGGATGCTCACAATGAGCAGGGGTGTCCTCGCGAGCATGGCTGGGTCGGGGAAACTGCCCTGTCCTCCTCTGCCACCGTCCGGAGTGCGGGGACAGCTCCAGGCGTCGGGGTCTGCCTGAACCCAGAGCCCTTCTGGGACTTTACCTCACAATTTCTTGCAGCTGTAGTGAAACGCCACAGTGCTGCCTGTGCCCGGGAGGGGACTCTCGCGCGGGGGGCTGCGGGCTCTGGGAGAGAGGACAGACCCAGGAAGGGCTCAGTCCTCTCTCGCCATGACGGTGTCTGACCTAAGAAGCAGCACTTGCCCGTCTGCAGCTCGTGGTCCCGTGTGTCCCGAGCAGCCTTATTAAAATACTGATATTCCCAAGGAGGGGTTGTGGGAGCAAATTAGTCGGTCTTATTTTATTTTCCTCCTCTTCAGGGTAGCAGATTTCCCTGGTGCAATAATTCCTTTGAAACCTGAAGGGGAAGAGCACTGGGCTTCCTCTCCATGTCACGGGGATGGTGGATCCCAAACCTGCCGCTGCTGCCACACTCTGGCTCCTTGCCGTGCCTCAGTTTCCCTCCCTCTGCCCGCCCGGCCCCTTCCCCTCCCTACCTCGCAGGGGTGTTATGAATTACCATTTCTAAAGCACTTTGAAAACCTCTCGGGGAAGGCACCGGAGAGGTGCGTGTGCTGCACGGAGCCCGGGGGGTCTGTCCTCCCCGAAGCCGCCGGTGGCATCCCCCGCCGTGGCTGGCACGCAGGACTCGCGTCCTTCATCACTTGGGGAACTTTTTGCTCTTCCCTCCTCGACAGCGTAACAACCCTCAAACTGAAATGTATATTTTTGCTAGAAGTACAAAACTCCAAGCGTTTTTAAATAATATAGTGTCCACAAACTGACTTGACTTTAAATAAATCTGAACTAAATATTTAAGAACCTTTTAGCGTCCAGCCTTTTTTGGGGGCTTGGTTGTTGTTTTTTTTTCGGTGGGATTTCTCTTGGCCCCTGGTGGGTTGCCATTTGGGAGGGTTTCCAGGAGAGGCCATGCTGGATTTGCCATGATTCCCAGGAATTTGCTGTGATTCCCAGGAATTTGCCGTGATTCTCAGGTCTTGTAGCTGCTTTGTGTGTTTCCCATCGAACCTAAGGGCGGCGAGAACCCCCTGTCAGCAGTTCCCGGCCCCAAATCTCTCTTCGGGGTGAAGCTGGAGAATGATCTGAACCCCCCAACCCCAAAAGGGGCGAGGGTGGGCGCAGGGACAGCCCGGCCATGTGCCAGCACCGCGCTCCGCTCTTCACCGGCTCCGAACACCCCAAATTTTGCGGGGAGCAGCCGCGGACCCCCCAGGCTTTCCCCCCACCCCGTTTCGAGTACCCCCAGGGGAAGCCCCCAGTCCCCTCCG